GCTTGACTTTCAGCATTGTTTAACAAAACTGTTTCAAAGAAGTGATTTTAACAGCGTAACATAGCTAAAAAGTATTTCCTACTTGTCTAAAAACAATTCATCCAGCCTGTTCCAAAGCAGCAACTTTGAATATGCTATTAATTTTTTTTTTAATTCTTATTATTTACAGTATTTCCATGTGAGCAAACTTGAACAGCTTTGTCAAAGATGGAGTTCATCTGAAGCTAGCGCAAAATGTCTCTGGCTCTGAAATAGGAATTACTCCTATTTCTCTGTTACATTTCACCATCTAAATGCTTCCCATTACGTTTTAGCATACTACTTAAAGCTTTTCTTCTGTATCTGATTAAGAAGTCTCCAACAACTAGAGATATGCTAGTCTGCTAGTGCTGACAGCTTAAACTGTTTTTCTTGTAGGTGTCGCCCCAGAGCACGAGACTTCACTTTCCACATGAGAACAGAAACTGTTTTATTTTAATCAGCTTGGTTTATACAGAATTGTACCTCTGGAATTTGTAAATAAATACTTAAGTGTCTTTGTTATACCTTCTTTCCCCATTTGAGCACAGCAATACTTGCTTTTGCTAGCATGTCTGATAAATTAAGCAATGGTGTCCAGCTTTGATTGCTCTCGTCGGGGCCCTGAGTGCGAGGGAAAGCTCTGCAAACTCTTTTCTCCCAGCGCTTCAGCTGTCTGTCCTCAGATTCGCCTCTGATTCAGGGCAGTGGGGCATCCCCGGCTCACACTGCAGTTGTGAGAAAAGGCTGTGAGGAGCCTCTGCTGGGGCATTTCAGTTCAGCCCAGCGGCCAGTCCTGGCCCACATGCTGCTGCAGGGCTGCCTGCACCCAGGCTGGTGCCTCACTGGTCCTGACCTCACCTTGTCGAGTTGCCTTCATGGCTTGACCTCGTCACTGCAGACTTGCTTGGTGACAGCTGCGCTCTTGGCCAACCCCAACTGCCATCACTCGTCCTGTTCTGCTCTTCCTGCGGTGCTGCGAGGCTGCACCCCTCATCGGCAAGGTCCCTGCCCTTCCTGCCCTTAATGCTATACGTCAGAATTAAGGCCTTTATTAATTAATCTTTCTGTTTCTCAACCAACAGATATCTTTGCCTAGTGGTATGCTCAGATGAGGTGACAGAATTAGGCATGACTTTACCTACTAAGCTTACAACTTCATTTTATTTTTTTATGGTAGGTATACTGAGAATGGTCTCAGTATTTGCCCGATCTAAATATACTTCTTTCTTGTTCCACCTGAATAGATGGCTTCCACTGGACAGAATTCAAGCTAATACTTGTCCATCTGTAATCTGGCAGCTCTTGCTCTTTCCCAGACTGCCTAGAACTTCTGATTATAAACTCTTCTTATTTTTCCCTAACATCAGAACATCATCTCTGTAAATGTTTTATTGCTTGTACCGTCAAATTCTGATGTCTCTTTTTTTCTATGAAACTTCTCAGCGGCCGCATATGATACAGTGATAGCTTGCTGGAACAACTTTCTATCAAAGGGAGCATTACATGAGTACAAACATGTATTCTGTTTTCCTAAAGGTCCTTGTAAGAATTCTACTGACACTTCCAACTTAGAGAAATACTTATTGTTGGTCTTATTCTTCTGTAGGACTTCAAGCTCTGTAGATAGCTAGAAAACACCAATATCCTTTTGTAATTCCTTTCTGTCCACCCGCAAATGCAGATTCTTTCTTCTCCTACTATTGTAGCCAATGCTATCTATGAAGTTATTCAAATCCCAGTGCAATAAGCTTATCCAGTCCCTCTCTGGGCTTTATTTTACAATGAAGGGCCATGAATTTTGGAATGGCCCTTCTAAGCAGCTCTTTACTGCACTGGGTAGGTTGGCATTACCAGATTCAATCAGCAGCTCTCTTCTTCTTTCTCCACACTTTGTCTGTACTGATGGAAATCCATTTTGATATGAAGTGCAGATCTCCCAGTATTTCTGAACTCCAGATACACAGCTATCTGACTAAAACCAGTCACTGTCAAAAATAAGGCTCCAGGGTTACATATAGATTGCGGTAATGTTAAAGCTGCCTTCTGTTGTCCTCATGCACTTCAGAAAGTTTCAGTTCTGCCTGCAATTTCAGCATTTTACTTCTTGCGTATATGGTAGTTGGTGATGACTCAGTATTTAAAGTGTGTGCAAGGAATTTTCCCTTCTCCATCCTATTCCAACTTGCATTGGATTGCATTTTCTCACAACTGCAATGCAAGGATAGCAGCAATGTTACACTCAGACTGTCAGGTTGAAGCTCAGGCTTACACTTCTCAAATTCAGACTCCTTGACTGATCTCATTGCTTGTATGTTGAGCTCAGATTTGGCTTGAATTTGCAATTGCAAAGCACGCAGGGGACTTGCTTCTGCAGAAGTTCAGATTGGATGAGCTAAAGCCAAATGAAATTGCAAACAGCCTACATTCTGGCAGTCTAATTAAGAAAGTAAAGGTGTAAAGATCCAACCCAAACTCTGTCTGAGAAACTCAGGCCTTTTAGGCATAGTTCCCAGTAACAAATTGTGCAGCCCAAACCACAGCAGCACGTGGAGGTAAGGACGGCTGTTGAGTCCTTACTGTTCTTAGCTGGGAAGTAGCCTGTTCTCATAGGTGCAAGGTGCCATAAATTAGAATGATGTCATTGACTTATTACAATGAATACGCCAGCAGTTCAAGGTTAGATACGTACAAAGGAAGCCAGCTATAAAGTATGCACTCTCAAATCTAGTGCAACAGAATCAGGCCCATAAACATTCTCTCTATAGCTCCTACTTCGCAGAAGATTTCTTTAAATTCTGTCCACTAATTCCTTCCCTAGTATCTGAGAATTTTTTAACCTTTCGCAGTATGGCAATACCAGGACTGTATATGTATAAAATATATATCAAAACTACATTATAAATTGAAGTCTAAGCTGAATCCTGGATTCCCTAACTTGTGGCTTTTCCTCCACATATTAGGAAACATTGATTTATGTGCCTTTCTATTGTCCTTTCTCTCTATCCAGAAAATTGTGTAATATGGGAGCAGCACAGTTCCACATGACATGACCCAACCCACTCCTCTGCTTACAGGTAGGATCAGCTTCATTTCTCTCATTCTTCATAGCTGCTTGTCTAAGGTGCTCTTAAGGACTGTTAGCAATGCTGACTGAACAAATTTCCTTAACCAATCATTTATAATGCTCTCCTTGCTGTTTGAAATTTTCTTCCCTTAATATCTAACCTGAATCTTCCTGTTGCAATGCAGGACCATGACTTATCTTATAGAAATGAACATCACAGCATCCCTTTCTAAGAGGCTTTTATTTATACTAAGTCTGGCAACAGGCTTCTTCCCAATATCCTTTACATCACATCATTAAATAATTTCCTACCTTTCATCATGCTTTCTAGAGCAATCTCATTGCTCTCCTTTTCAGATGCTCTACAGTTGGTCCATATATTTTGAAACGGAATATAGCTAAATGAGGTATAGAAGTTCACAAAGAACTAAAAGATCTTTAACCCTCTATTAACAGTAGTACTGTGGCATTCTTTTGCTACATGTTGTGGATATGGTCACATGGCTGCACAATTTGTATTTTTACATCAAGACTGAAGTCTGGATAAATCCTACACATAAACAAATACAGGATTTCTAGCAGGACTTTGAGTCATGTAGAACTTTAGAGCTGGATCAAAAATGACTATCGCGATGACGTTATCTGACAAACTAAGTATGAACTGAAATTAAGACTATAAGACAAGTGTATTAGCTTATTTATTTGTGCTGATAACAAGATTTTATATGTTTATCTGTTTCTTACCTACTAAACTTTCTCACCTATGTACTTACAGAGTGTAGTGCAATAATCATTCATCAGTTCAATCATCTCACAAGTATAGCTACTTACTCTAGCAGAATGGGAACCTCACCTATTTAACCGAAAACTTCTATAAATACTGCATTCATCCAAAAGTTAAAAATATAAGAAATGAAAATAATGTATCTGTATTCTTTATGAGCCAGCTATTCAATTCCTCTCCTAAGTTTTCACAGTAGAAAAATGCTGAAACAAATGAACAGTTTCGTTTTTCTTTTCTGGAAACCCTTCCTCCTGTAACAGTCAGATATATTCAATGTAGTCTACTCTGGGATTACACAAAAAAAAATCTCCTTAAAGGCTGCAGAGATGGATAGATATATAAATTCTAGTTTGCAAAACCTTTCTTATCGAATAAAAGACAGCTAGCAAAAATACACTGTGGAGTTGCCTTTAGTGCAGTGAATTAAAGTAGGTGGGAGGCACAAAGTTATTCCAATTGCAGAGGAGGGGAAATGATAGTATAGCCAGAAACAATTAGACCAAACAATAACTGATAAACTGTGGATAAAAGAGGAACTCAAACAGAATCCATGAAAATAATCTTTAAATCCGCTGAAGCCCTCTTCTGTTTGTGACAAAAATATGGCTTGCTGACCACTGTGGGAGAAAACAAGGTCACGACTTTTTGTCAGTGGCTCTAAAATAAAGGAACCGAAGGCCTCATATAAAGGAATGCGAATCTACTGTGGCTCCATTCTCACAGTTGACAAATGAGAAACAAAGATGACTTTAGGCAGCCAGCAATATTCCCTAAGTAGTCTCTCTATTAGATATTTGAAATATATTGAAAAATGAAGTGATAAGCTTACTTCTCAGGTAACTAGACATGCTGATTCTTTTAAAATATGAGTAAAATTAAAGATGAGTTCCAGCAAATTACTTATGGCACAAAAACCATATTAACGCTGCCCACATCATTATTTATAGAGAAAGAAGGTTATTTTGACTGAGATGACAAATTACCCCTCAACAGCAGAAGGAAAAAATAGTTTACAAGTACAAGCCTTAAAGTTATTAAGTAAGATCTATCTGTACTAAGAAATGCACACCATATTAGAAAAGTCAATTTCTTAAATTAAGTGGCAAATCAGCAAGTGGATGAAGGACTGACCTTGGATCGGGGTGGTGCTCGGATGTACCATTTACAGTCTACTGCTTCAGTTTCAGAAGCTTTTCCTTCTTTGACAATTTGCACAGATTCCACAATTCCTTCAGGTCCTCCCATCTCAAACTCACAAACTGAATAACAAAATACCATAAAAATGAAACCTGAACAGCAAGCAAAACTATTTTCTACAGCAGAGGGCAAAGGCCTCCAAATTTTATGAAAAACCAACATACCAACCTGGCAATGGTTTCAAAACGCCAAGGTCCTTAAAATCTGGATCTTAAAAATTGAGAAAGAGAAAATTAGTTTTGTTCAATATCCTAGTTATAATAATGTCAATGTGCTAAAATTTGACAATGCACTTCAGTGATATAATTACACATGTATTTTTTGTGAATGTGCCTTGCTTTTAAGACATGTTTAAAAACTATGGCAATAGATATTAGTAATGCAGAAAGTATTGATAGTATCATATAAAGCTCTCTTTATTTTCCATTATAAAAACTTCCTTTGATCATAATTTTCTCTGTCTCTTTCTCTCTTCTAGAAGAGTTCAAAAATATTTCTGCATGCACCAGCAGGCAAGAAGGTTGCAGAGATACCCACTTGATATTTTAATACATCAGTTTAATGAAGGAGGATATGTTTACAGATTAATTTAGGATCACTTTGCCTAGTTTACATTTCCCAGCATGATTATAACACTCACCTTAGCTAGAGAAATCCAAATTTCGTTCTGTGCTTATGAATGCTCTGCCATCCCCCACTGACTGTGAGAAGCCACTCCCTTTGTCAGAACCACTCATTTATTCTTCCAGGAATAAATACCATAAGGATTTACCATAGAATTCATTGGGTTAACAAAGGTAATAAATGCAATTTTTTTGGATCAGATATACATGATTATTTTTAATGTCTAAGATGCTTTGTGTCATGCTTTTATAGCTGGGTTCATCACTTACCTAAAATGAGTTTGGCCTTAGATCTATGCCCCAATAGGAAAGTATCCATAGACAAATCAGCATTTAACAAAATTTGGCCTACTTTGAAGATACTGCCCAAAACCAGAAATGTGAAAGAGGCTAAATTATTTGAAGAGAAGATGATCTTTTCAGAATAGAGTAGTCTTGCTTTGGAGTTTTTGTCTCTTGCACTGCCATTCTACCTAGCGTGCAGATGCTATACTTTCTTTCACTTAAAGGTGAAAGAAAACAAGAAATAAAATTGCTGGCCTCCACATTTTTGTGGAAATTGGAGAGGATCTGGTCTTCTAAAATTGGTGAAAAACATTTACAAACAAACGCTCTGCACTGAGCGTCTCCTGAACCACTTTCTGCTCAAGCCTGAAAAGGATTGCATAAGAAGAAAACCAGGGTAGTCTGAGCCATGCAGTATACTCATGGAACTGATTTCACTGCTCCAGAATTGGGTTGGTGTATCAAAAGCTATAACTAAAACAATGAACAGAAACTTTGGAATTAAGAAATATATGAAATGGAGAAAAAAAATTCTACTGTTCCCCTCTTGCCTCAGTCTATTCCATACAGTAAGAATCATAACCAAATAATATTATCAAAAATAGAAACTTTAGTGCTGTATGAGGAAGATCAGCCTAAACAGTGAGAATATACTGACTTCAAAATTGGAAGTGTAAGAACATCCTTTTAAACTGTCACTACAGCCAGGCTGCCTTTGTTCTTCCAGCTATCTTTTATGGTTGCACAATATAAATCTTTAGTAAATACTCCTGAACCTAAGAGACTGCAAATATAATGGAGCAGGCAATTAGCATTAATTGTTAAGCAGTCTAATAGATTGGAAGATAGATATAACAACCAACAAAATGTAATTTAATTAAATATTTCAGTTAAGGTACTCAGATGTTCATACCTATTGCTGAAAGCAAGACACTTAAAGGAAATCTACTTTAACTGCTAGTTCAAATTAACATCCAAACGATATACAATGTAGCCCTTGCATTTCTTCTAATTGCTGTCCTAGAGTTTGTGCAGGGTGGCTCTGATCTACTGAAAATACCACATCGGAAAAGCACAGAGAAGCATAACACAGAGAAGGAAGGAAGGAGGAAAAGACCCTGATAGGATTTGGCCTCTATGAGGAAGTTTTCACACAAAGGATTGTTGGTAGCAAGACTCCACGTGCCTGGCTGCTTGGGCTGACCTTGCCATTTCAGAAGTAGCATGTGGGAGTTGGGGGAGGGAATGTTGGAGATAAGCTGTGTATCAGAAAGGAAGGGTGAACAGCTTTCTCCTTTGAAGTTTCTGAGTCCGAGCATACCCTCTAAGGAGTGTACATCAGCTCTTCACCAAGGTGTGCAGGCTCCAAAATTCTGGGCACGGGAGACAGACCTGGCTGAGCCCCCTGGCTGAGCAGTGCTCGGGAGGGACATCTAGGTACTGAATCCATGAGTGCTTGTGGTTGTCTGCTCACACTCCCTACATACTTGGGGTGCTTTGTACTAGGAGTGGCAACAGGGTCCCATCTCTGTTTTTGATGAAATGGGTTTGGAAGTCTAATTCCTTATGACCTACATAAAATTTTTGTTTGGAAAATGAATATTAACATTTTGCTCACTGGAGGCAACGTAAGCCCTTTTGTAAATTAGGTTTGAGGCAGTGTTCATATTTAAACATATATCCTCGTGAAGTGTTCACATGCTGTAGCTGCTGCCACAGCTGGGGGAAGGACACAGCCTCTCCCTGGGTCTTCAGAGTCTCTTCGTGGCTCTCACAACAGAGGGAAGTGGTGACTGGGAAAGCAGTGGTGATCTTTCACCATAATGTTGTACAGAGTGAAGGAATAGAAAAACACCGAGCTGAACCTGAGAAAAAGGTCTCAGTTAGTGAGTACCCAAAAGAAGCAGATTGGGAAGCATTCTGCTCTATAAATAAAGACTATTATCCTGGTAAGGATATAAAATAAGGATATAAAATAAAATATCCTGGTAAGGATATAAAACAAAGATATTTTGGTAATATAAAATATTATCTTTTTAAAAACTTGTATTAAACAAGAGGAAAAAGGCATTGGTCCAACTCTCTTAAAAATAAAGTGGAACAGCATTGTTTTCTAGACGTAAGATTCATTCTACCCACTGTTTCACTACACACTGTTTATTTGCAAAATGGCTTCCTTCAGGAAACTTAATGAGGCTGAAGTATAATCCAGGTTACGCACAAAACAAAGCCAAAAGAATGTTCTCATCTGTTAACAATACAGTCGTAACAAAACCATATACAGGGGCAGAATCTGTTAAAGCCCTAGAAGTATAGTAGACTGCCCATAAGTGCTCAGCTTTGAAAATGATTCTTTTGCAACTTGTCAGCATCATAAGAGTAACAGTTAAATAAAATGTATGACACCCGAGGTGCCCATATATTGAGGTAATGTATTTCATTAAACATTAATAATATACCAATAATATTAGAGCAAAAAACAACAACCTGATAGTAAGGCATTATCAGGGGTGCTGAAATTTCAACCACATTTAAGCATACTTACTCATCAAATATTTGTTTTTTAAATACTTTACCATTAAAATCACTATACTTTAGCGGCTCTTCTGTATATAATTCAATCAAACAGTTATTATCAGTCTGGCTGAGTCAGAACCTTTTAAAGATATATAAATACTGACTGGCTAAAACTTCTAATAGATGGCCAGTCCTTTCTTTTGCAGCTGATGACAGCCATGGGAAAATTAGGGAAATCTTCCTGTGGAAAATCAGATTGCTCATCAATAATGAGAAAGAAAAATAAGAGACTTGAGGGGACTGCAACACATGAAGATTTTTTAAGGAGAAGATCTCTCTAATGGAGAAGTGAAATGTGTAAAGAGGAAGTGGAGAATTTCCATTAGAAATCTGAAAACGTGTAAGAGCTATGTAAATAGAAGACCTTGCAGCCAAAGTAAGTTCTGTGGATCTTTGCTGAAGCTTTAATTGTCTCTGGAAAAAGTGAAAGTATCTCAAAAATTTCCTTTGGTGACATATTACAACCCATTCCACAAATAATATATTCCTGAAATATTAAGTTAACAGCATTTTCTGTGAAATCTCTGTAAAGCACAGAATTACATTTGAAGCTTCTTATGAAATGCAAAAATCTGTGCCACATTATTTAGAATTATTGGAAAATCAGCAGAATGAAGAACTTCTGAGTGGTCCAGATGGAAAACAGTGATAATATGTAGATTTCCTTAACCAATAAAAGATAATCAAACACCAGAACTGCCTAATAGTAACATTGCTATTCAAAAAAAAAAAAAAATCTAAGGTAATTACAGACGTTAGATAAATCTCTATCAGGTTGGAGACCTGGTCTGGTGGATTTTGCTATGAGACATGGGAATATATATATCCAGATGGAAAAAATCTGTAGCATTTAAGACCAGTTTCAAATAAATCCACTAGGTCTTCATAAAGGCTTCAGAAGGTGTTTTGGATGCAGACTGTGAGATCTGTTCTACATCCATCTCTTGGAAATCACATTACATTTCTTTATTTTTATAGTTCAAGCAAGTCTTTTTTTCTAAACTGCTGGCAAGCATGAAATTCAAATGTAAGGAAAGTTATAAAACAGGAGGATAATTGTCATGAGTTAGAAGCCTGAATGCTCAAACAGTTTATGAAATAAAATAGGACAATTGTAAAGTACAAACGGATTGTAGATTGAGTGGATTAACTCTTCCAAAAGTATATAATTGACTTTATTTTTCAATAAACTGCAGCCTCTAATGTGGCTGCCCATCTGTGGCACATTCACACAGAGACGCATTTGCCCACCTTTGCTTGCATTGACTCACATAGTTTCTCACTCTCCACTGAAGCTCACTCCAAACTGGCCAGCTACCTGGATTCCCTGCCTACCATTTTATTCTATTCTCCTAAATATAGTACCTAGTTCACTTTTCCTCTTTCATGACAGCAAAAATCAAAGGTAAAGTCTCAATGAACGCTGATTGTCCTTATCGCTTTCAGACTTTAGTAAACATCAAGCAAGCACACAACTGTCAAGCACGCATTACAAGTCAACAAATAGTGACGTTTCACTTCAACAAATAGTTTAGGTGTAATGATATAAGTAGAGGGTTTATGGCAGAAAACACTGTTAATTAGATATTGTTTCAGTTCACATCTGGCAATAAATCCAGCAAAAGTGTAATTGCCATACATTAAAAACATTCATGCAACAAAAATTCTGTAACGTGCACTAAATTAGTTCTAGTCTCTGTTCATCACCCACATGATTCTGCAGAC